ACACCAAGAGGCGAAGTTCACCTGAGAGAAAAGTGCACACTCTCATCCTAATGTTTTGGTCCTACAGTTTTTGCTCGATGGTTTTAAAGTTTAGTTGCTTTTAAAATTTCTTCTATAGCATTGTTAGAAATCTAACATGGCCCATAGTATACTTTTTTAAGGTGAGAAAGATTCAAGCAAACTAGAAAGAGAAATAAAACATTAGGAGAATTTGAGGCATTAGTTTCTGCTCCTCCACCCAAATGCAGATGTATAAAGCACAAATATGTTCTTTATTCCCACAGTATAGTTTCCAGAACATATAAGCAAAACCGATTCTGTTCGGATACACTGATTCTATTGTTTGGTGACTCTGAAAGAGAATACACGTTGAACTGAAACAGAAATTTGCTACCTGACAAGGAACTGGAGACTGTTTGAGATGACGTATTTTAGATGAGAAGTTGGATTCCTAAGAACCAGCCCTGGGAACTGGGGAACATAAGGCTTCAGAGGCAGTAATGATGGCACACACAAGCTGGAGACACCCTCTCATGAAGCATGGTTGTTGCTGCCAAAAGGTCAATGATCACATTCTTTTTCTTTTGTTCTTAAGTTGTTAAAGAGCATTTTAATATTCGTTATGTCACTGGTAGTAACCCTCATGAGTAATCTTCCCACACCCTGTCACCACAAGTCACCCTTGAAATTTTTGAGACACACACATAGACTGAACACCTAGTACCTTTCATCATCCCTGTCATCACCTCCATTCAAACATGAAGTCGCCTTTGCTCCATACCTATTTTTCTCACTCTGATATTAAAAACAGTTTTCTTCAAAGAAGAATAGTGAAAATGATTATTAAACCAATCCTGTTTTTATTCTTCCTTTCAGAAGTACTTTGACTGTTGATTTTAGGTTCATGTAAAACTTGGATTTCTACTAAACCTGAATGCCTACCTCTTCCATGTAATCTCCTGTATCTTCCACTTGACCTACATGTCAACCATACCAGCCCTCCTGTAGCATTTTCTGGAGTTCACTTTGCTTTCCCTGCAAGAGAAGCTTCTTTCTCCCTTGGCCACAGACATGCCACCCTGGCCCCCAAGAACAGCATTGCCTTTTCTTCACCTCTCTCACCCAGAAAAGTCTGGGCTATCTGTGCCGCAGATATACACACAGTGCTCAGGCTCAGATAAGTCCTCCAAACACATTCATAATACCTTAACTACTTCATTGTGGCATATACCATAGACATGGCTCAATTATTACTTGAGTAATTGTATTTTTACTGTGTATCTCTACAATAAGACTATAAGCTCCAAGAGGTGGTAACTGTACCTTACATAAGAAACATTTATTGTGACTCTACCTAGGCCAATTTGTAGCATGTGTAGGAGCTATGATAAATAAAGTATGGGGGTAGGAAACAATGTAAGATTAAAATATTGAACCAAATGATAATAGTTTTTGATTGCCATGTAAATAATTTTAATTTTATCCCAAGATAATGACAATCCATCAAAATCTATAAGTGAAGTGATCAGATCTGTTTTAAAGAATAAGTCTGGCAGCAGATAGTTTGGCTGAAGCGGCAGCCTGGACATCCAACGCTGCTATACAATATGGCCATGTATTTCCTGTCTCCACTGTACATCCCCTTTACAGTATGCCTCTGTTACTCTTCTTTTCCCTTACACTTTTGAATTTAAAGATGATGGTGAGACTAATGAGACTGACCAGTGAGACATTAGCAACTGTGATACTGCAGAGGTTTGACAGCATCCGCCCTTTAGGATTTGCCTGGGAGCCTGGGTATACCATACTGTGTGATAGAGCTCTCTAAAGCAGTGAATCTCAAGCAGCTTTTAGCCTTCCACCACCTTTTTCATGTGTGTAACATTCCTCTTCCACCATCACAAATGTCTCTCACTTCAAACAATGGCACTGAATGCTGCATACTAGAATCTGGGGGTGAGAAGAGGCACTTTGTAGTTTGACTTCCCTTTGTAGGAGATTCTAATGCACTCAGGAGGGCAAATTGAAAAATCATTCTGTAAATTTCGTGGACCGATGAATAAATAGTTAACTCAGCCTGGGGAGTTAACAAATGCAAATGACATTTCTATTAGGGTGAGGAGGAAGAATAAATATTTACCGATGGAGAAATGGAGGCAGAGCACGGTAGACAAAGAGGACAGTACTGACAGACATAGACTTGCTAACACTTTAAATCATGTTGGCAGATGTGTAGCATTTTCAAGGAAATCTCTAGAAGTTACTTTGCAGAGTAAAAAGTTTGCAGAGAGGCTATTCAAATAAAATTTTATGATTATTGCTTTTTCTCAAAATTTATTTATTTCCAAGAATTTGCTTTAACTATTACTGTCATTTCTACCTAATTCTCATCCTCAGGGTACAGTCATGGAGACAATAGGAACTGATGGGTGTTTTATTTGCCTTGTCAGTTTTCAATAACTAAAATCATGATGGTTTTATGAAATTAAATCTAATTCTTGATTTTTTCCAATGCGTTCTTTACTGAATCATAAAATTACTGTTAGATAACTAATTATCATGCAAAAGGACTTTTGGTATTCTTGAACACATTCACACATTATTCCCTTACTCTTAGCCTCACAGTAAATAAGTCTCTGAATGAAAGTATTATCATTTTGTGTTTCTCTGCAACGAAGCACAGAGAACAACTCCATATACACATAATAAGATTAATCTTTAAAAACATTATCTTTATAAGCAGGTGTGAACCTTGTCTGCCCTTAGGGAAACATCAGCCAATGAGAGGTTGCTCTGGTGATGTAATGCTTATTAACTTTCTCTCTTTTAGACATGATCAGAGACTATTCCTTTCAGGGCATCAAGCATGAATTGACCTTATCTCTTTCTCTCATGACTAATTTTAGCTCCTGACCTATCTGTGGTGATTCATAAATATACAGCTTAGGATAGCCTTAAAATGGTCGTGTAAAGTTGTAAGAGAATATTATTTTTGTTTATTTAAGAAACTAGGTCTCGCTTTATTATTGAGGCAGGCCTTGAACTTCTGGGTGCAAGTGATCCTCCTACTTCGGCCTGCTGAGGACTGGCACTACAGGTGCCATACCATCAGCCCCAGCTGAGCATGTGCTTTCTTGAGCATTGGCATCTACTTGCTGCTACTCATTAGTGATTCCTCACCTGGAGCAATCACTTACTTTCATATCCTGATCTTTATGTAAATAGACAAAATAATTCATTAACACTGTCCCAACAGCACATAACCTGAATTTTCATAGATATAGACACTCAGGGAAATTTAAAATGACCCAGATACCTAATATGTGTTTTTAAGTCAAATTCATCACTATCTACTTCTCATTATTATGTACAAACTTTATCTCCATGTCTACCTACTTTATTTCAAACATTAAAAAAAAATTGAAAACACTATTGAATAGCCAACTGTGTTCATAGTAATGCTGAAACGTCTACCCAGTGAGTAATTTAAAGAGCTCCATTGATGCTACTAAATGCTTATTAATATCCAGAGAAGCCTGACCCAAGACAGATGAAGATCCCTAGGGAGTGTGGCAGACAGGGCAAGATGAATGTGTGTGGTTTCCACTGGTAAAGTGTACAAAAAAAATGCCGATTCTGAGCTAAAATGTTAATTCACTCAATAGCTCAGTCCCATTCCTTCTTCCTCCGCCTGAATCTTACTTTTTGGATGTGAATGAAATAGTAAGTATGCTATTTAAAAAAAAAAAAAAATCTCTCTGCAAGGGGAAGATCATGGTACCTGTGCACACCTGGTTATCTGATCTAATGCTGAATAACAAAGCAGCTCAGGTTGCTACACAGCTGTGTGATTTAAAGTGTAAGATACTCAGCGTAAAAATATAAGACAATGGAGATATTGGAATCGTTTCCTCTTTGTTCCTTTTTTCAGAACATTCTCCCAGCCCTTTGAGAAAGCTGAGCTAATTTCTGGTCTCTGAGCTAGCTATTCTTGGGAATTTTTCACTGGTTCAGACTGTGATAATACAGCTGTATTAAGAAGGGGTGCAATTATGGACCTGCAAAATTTTTCAGACCTAGTTGTGAATACCTCTGTCCTGTAAAAGTGTAACAAATCACTAATCCTGCCTTTCCTTTGTGGCCAATGTCGTATCTGTCAGAGTTACTGAGGTGGAATTGTTAGATCACAGATCCTCTAGCTATTTCTCTCTCCCCAAATCAGGCCACACCCTCCTGCAGTTCTCTTTCAAGGCCAGCTGTGACCTTGAAGCCCTCAGAGTTCCCTCTTTTCCCCTTGCAGCTGTAAGCCCAGATACCCCTGATGCCCAGACTTAAAACAACCTTGAATTATACTTAGTGCCTTTCTGCCTTTTGACTCCTGACACATAGGCTAGGTTACATCACATTGTGTAAAATATACTCCCCTTCCTGAAAACCTGTTAAGAGTCAGAAACCACACTTTGTTCTCTAGGACTGGAGGCTCTCTCACATCAGGACACCCATCATGATATACTCGGCAGCTATCTCTTCTAATGTTCTTTCTTGCTAGGGCTACCTCATGGCTGCCTATGGCTATGAACCTATAACTCTGCTAATAAAACTCTTTTGAAGTAATTTCATCCCAGCTTCCCTTCTACAAACCTATGTTTTCTGTATTAACAAGAATGACAGGCAATTTAATCAGTTATGAGTTACTGTTTTTCATCCTGTAAAGCTGAAGATAACCGAATTACATGGAGATTGAGCTTATGGCCTTGATCCTTCTGCATCCTCTTCTGTCCTCCTTAGATATGGTAGAATGACCCATACCTGTGCATGCGTGTGTGTGCATGTGTGCACCTGTGTGTGTGGTGTGTTCGTTGTAGCCTACATCATTCTGTGAATGATTGGAAGTTGGTAGAATTATATGTGTAATGTGGGAAATGCACTATATATAGCATGCTTAAAAGAGGACATTCTCAGTTGCATGTAGATATGAAGCATTTTTCTGTCTCCTACAGCAGCTGTGAAGAAGGCCAGCTTTATCACTCCCTTCCCAGGAGGTGTGGGACCCATGATGGTGGCAATGCTTCTGCAGAACACACTTCTGGCTGCTAAGAATGTCATGTATTAGCTCACATGGAAGAATGGAGAAAACCGAAGTAGCACTGCTCATATATTTGACAATGGGCAAAATCCTTTATATTTTACTACAAAGCTATTTATTTCTACATTGTATTTATTTTTTCATCAGATGATTTAGACAACATTATGCATTTCCTGCTAACAGATTTTGAGTATTTGGAACAAATAAAATCATTCCAATGAAAATTTTGGTAAAAAACAAATTATTTTATGGATTGTGTTCATAGTATTAAAACAAAGGATTCATAATAAATATATTTTGACACAACCAAAATATAGCACATATTATGTTTTCAAAAATATTTGTCAGGGGCTGGAGAGATGGCTCAGTGGTTAAGACCACTGATTGCTTTTGCAGAGGACCCAGGTTTGATTCCCAGCACCCACATGTCAGCTAACAACAATCCATAACTCCAGTTCCAAGGGATCTGACACCTTTTTTCTGATCTCTGTGGGCACTGCAAGACATAGGTGCACCTACCTACAAGCAGACAATACACTCATATACATAAAAAAATAAAATAAAATATTAAGAAAATATTTTGTCAGCCAAATGGGCACCGTGTAAAATGTAATTTAGTTTTTTTCTATAACTATGTTTTTTTAAAAATATAATTCATATTCTAGGTCATCTGTTGGAAAAGAGCTTACTTGTTAAAAGAAAGCTAGATTATTAAAAATGGGTTCTTAAGCTCGGATATCTCTTGAATGCATCCTACAAAGCGATCTAATGAAAAACAATGTCTATTCAAGAAAAGGAAAAGGTGGAGCTGAGTGCGGCTGTGCATGCCTTTAACCCCAGCACCTGGGAGGCCGAAAGACGCAGGCAGAGTAAGCCTGGTCTACATGGCCCGTTCTAGACCAGCTCGGACTACAGACAGACCCTGTTTCAAAACAAAAGAAAGAAAGGAAGGGAGGAAGGAAGGGAGGGGGGGAGGGAGGGATAGAAGGGAAGGAGGGAGGAAAGGAGGGAGGGAAGGAAAAGAAAAATATCCAAGGAAAGCCAAAAAACAAAAACAAAATACAATGCCTAGAAAAAAAAATGATATCACATCATGAGTGATTACTTGTCATAATAAAAAATCACGCATGCTAAGTTTCAATATTATTTGTTTCTTTCAAAAATTATTTGGACAGTATCTTCACTAATGATTATGTAAAAAAATCTCAAAATAAATGAATACACAAAATAATTGTTTTTCACAAATATCAGCCAAATATGATGCTGTGAGTGAATCTGTCATTAAACAACAGTAACTGATAAGTTTATTCACAGATGCAGAAATCTGATAAGAATCAAGCATTCAATTTGTCAACACCTAACCACAGGATATGACTAAACCACTGTGTTTGTACCCACATTATCTCCCTCTTCCATTATGGCATTTGGTTCTTGACATAGATGCAGTGTTTCCAGCATAATTCAAATTAGGAAGTACATGTGACTATTAATTGCAAGCTATTTTGAGATTAGTAAAGCTGTCTAATTGATACCGTGATCTCATGACCAAATCCCAGTATATGTACCAGTAATGATCATTATCCAATGCAAGTCTTTATCAGTGTGTACTCTTGATCATTTGTGTGACAGTAGACTACATATTTACAATTAACATCCCAACTGTCTAATAAAAGCAATTTTAAGATAGCTAGCTTTAAGTTTCTTTGTTCACATATTTGTTACCTGTTTCTTTTTTTACATTTTTTTCCCTGTGTATGTGTGTGTGTGTGTGTGTATGTGTGTGTGTGTGTGTGTGTGTGTGTGTATGTGTGACCTCCCATAGCCTACATGTTGAGATGCAGAGTTCAGAGTACTTGCAAGAATCAGTCCTTCCCTTCCACTGTGTGGGTCTCTGGGGGTCAAAGGCAGGTCATTAGATTTGTTTGCAAGGACATTTACCCACTGAGCAATCTTGCTGGCCCTGTTGCCTGCCTCTTTACTGCATGCTGGGAAAATGTAGCAAATTTTTCAAACATGAAAGAAACACAATATAGCATATCCTACAGTGGGTCTAGAGCAGTCTACCCAGTAATCTTAAAAGAACTGTAAATTCAAAGCTTGCAAGCAAACATTTTAGAAATGGCTTGTTTTACATTTTAATGGAGACTGAGTTTCAAAACAAAATGCCAAGAAATGCATGTATGTTAAAAATGAGGGCTGTAATTTTGAGTAACTCCTGACCAATGGTACAAAAGGGATTATTTTGGAATACTATTTAGAGGTCAGCCTTCCCACAGACTAAAAAAAAAAAAAAAAAAAACTGAAAGAGAAAAATTCTGTCATTCATTTATCTGGCTAAGACTACTGCAGTGCAGTCAATACCACCAAGCAAAGAGATTGAACATAACTTTATACAAAGCAAAGACAAATGGGAATTGCTAAGGAGAGAGGGAAATCAATGTTGGAGAAATTACTAAAATGAATGTGGCTAGCTGTCAAGGACAGGGGAATTCTTGCAGAACTGACATATCAGTATTCTTGGTAACAGCATGCCAGTGACTTGAAAATCCAGGGTAGGGAATAAGGAACTTAATCAGACACACAAGGTGTGGGGTGGGGTGCCCATAAGCTGATTTACCGAGATTCTTTGATAAAACTGTGCTCGGTTGGCCAAAGTAAAGGTTTTGTGAACAATAAGGCTCACGTGAGTGTAAGGAAAGATGAATGAAGGCAGACGTCTTTTCTAATACATAAGAAACAAAGTTAGCTGCTTAGTATTATGATTTTATGGGTCTTTGAAATCTATAAAGGCGTTGAAGACACATTTTTTTTTCCTTCTACATTGTCTGCAAACAGAAGCTTGAAGAATTAATTAAGCTAAATGACAATACCTGGATACAGAAAATAAAAGCGAAGTTTTAATCATGAAAATGAAAAGCATGATTTGGAGAGTGGTGGAAAAATAGTGGTAGAAGTTACAGAGAACTCTGATGTATCAGAATCAAAGACCATATTTAGCAAGCAATAGAGATTGTAGTTAGAGGCTAGACAGTGTGACCATGGGTTAGCATAAGGAAGTTGTAAAGGGGAGCCAATTTCAGAGAAGAGATAAAAAGTTCAATTTAAGATACATTGAGTGTGAGGTAATGATGCAATACACACATGATCGTCATGGAATAATTCAAAGCTGGGACGGGGAGGGGCATTCGTGGCTAATGGTGCAAATTTAGGATTCATCAGCACATATTAGCTACTAAATTCCTGGCCTTGGAGCCCACTATACACCTTGTGTCATTTCACTCTGTTCAATAGCAGCAGGTGCTCCTTAACTGGACACCTGTATGTGCTGAATGTTCCCTCTTTATTTTCTGCCTTTGCTCTTTATTAACCATCTTTATTTGGTAATGAGGAAGGCGACCCACCTTGTAATTTAAAATTCTCAGCCAAGTGCAAGTAGATTACAAAGTTAAATCCAAATTCAAAGTAAGTTCTGTTGTGAAGATGTTATTTGGAAACCACGTTTTTCACTACTTTGCTCTGTCCCCCTCACTGTCCTGTACTTAGAATCTCTTATCACTACCTGTCAAAATCCTCCTTAGTAAGATGCACTCCAAATGAAACTTTGCTGTGAGAGTTGGACTGAGTTCCACTTCTCCACTCTCAGCCCTATACACAGATATTCATGGAAATTGTCACTCCCCACCAAGTACTGTACTTGCCTATTTTCCCCTCACTGCATTTAGTTCTTTGAGGTCAGAAAATGCTCATTTATACCCTTTTTGATTTATAAACAACATTCTGCTCAACCCAGTGCCATGATTGCAATGGGAAACTGATATTTTATGAATGAAAGAATCAATGCCAACAAAATGTGTAAAAATTGCAGAATGAATATAGAAACAACAGACTGATAAATATTTCCTGTCAAAAACTAGCTACAAGTTCCCAAGTTAGTGAAAGACCAAGAAAACAAAAGAAACACCCCCCCCCAAAAAAAAGACTAAAACTGCTATTTAAAAAAAGAAGGAAAGGGAAGAATAAGCTTCTAGAGGTACTTAGGACTACAAGAGAGCTCTGAGCACTTTACAAAGAAAATACGATACAAGGAACGAGAAGGAAGCTCCAGGCCTATCACCTCCTCTTTCCCAGCTCTAATTTGCTTTAATGTGTATTGCCAGTAAATACAGATAGAAGTGAGACCATCTTACAATATACATAGTCCTTTCTTTAAGGTTGGAAGAAGGGACATTCTCATGACAGGATTGAAGAAGTGACCTTCCTGTGGAGAGTGGAAGTAGGACGCATCAGTACAGACCCCAAAGGAAAAGCTGTGAGTGGAGTGATAGAGCTGATTCCTGGTGTAAGCCTGATGCTAGATGGGTTTCTAAAAGATATGGCCTACCCCACAGAGTGGGAAATAATATCCAGAGGAGCAGACATCCACCTGTCTGCCCATATGTGAGTGATAACTATGATTCATCTAATACTAGTTTTTTATTTAAAAGAAATGTATTTAAATTTTGCTCCTTGGAGCTAAATGACTTTCTTGGAAATCTCCATCTTCTACCAACGGACACAGCAGGGAAGTTAAAGGACTTCTGATGAGGGATTTGAGGATGAGGGTGAAGTCCTGATGCTGTATATTCTTTGGCATGTAACTTGGTTCTTTTTCTCTTCTCCTCTCCTTTCTCCCCTCTCCTCTCCTCTTTTTCTTGTGTACTAGGGATAGAATCCAAGCCCTGACTATGCAAACACCCTCAAACACTTAGTCACATGCCCAAGCTTATTCAAGACTTTTGAACCTCTACCCCTCATATATTATTTGAGAATTTTAAAAAATGTCTATTTCTTTAGCTATTCAAGATACATTTGCTGAATATTTCCTATATACCAGACACTGTATTTATTTGGTCCAGGATAACTGAAGAAAGAATAGAGATGTGTGTGAAAAACCTATAAAATGCAATGTACTATGGTTAGATCAGGTAAATTCTTATGTGTATGCATGTTTGTGGGTGGGTATGTGGGTGTGTGAGGAGGTATGTGTGTTTGGAGGCTAAAAGTCAACTTTGAATGCCTTAATTTCTCTCTCTCTTTGTTTGTTTGTTTATTCATTTATTCGTTCATTTATTTAATTCATTGGTCTTTTTGAGACAGGGTACCCCTGTAGCCCAGCTGGCCTGGAACTCACTATGTAGACCAGGCTGGCTTTGAATTCACAGAGATCCGCCTCCATCCACCTGCCTCCGCCTCTGGAGTCCTGGGATTAAAGGCGTGAGTTGTGAGACAGGGCTTGTCACTGAATGGGGAGGTCACTAAATTATTTAGACAGACTGGCCAGCAAGCCCCCAGGATCTTGGTGTCTCTACCTTCCTAGCATTGGGATTATAGGTGTATAATCCCAATGGTTCCTGGGTTTTTATGTGTTTTTTTATGTGGGTGCTAGGGATCTGAAGTCAGGACCTTATCCTGGCATAAGAAGCACTTTACCAACTGAGCGATCTCCCCTGCCCCTCCAGTTGATTGTTATGACAAAGGTGGTCATTGTGCTTCCATAGCTAAGTCCTACAAATAATAATATTTGAGTCAGGTATTTCTCAGAGGTAGAGTACTTGCCTAATATGGGATGAAGCCTTGGGTTTGATCATCACAGACACTAATGCATACATAAATATTTAATGTGAAATCCAACATTTCTCTCCAGAAATTTCAGTAGATTTGTGTGGTTTATTTAATCTTTGGTAAATGACTTACTTCTTAAATTCTCAAAAAAGTGATTAAGAGGATACTTTGATTTATAATTCAATATTTTTTTTAAAAAAAAATAGTGCTCAGAAATTGACTTTGCAGTTCTGTAAAGCCATAAAAATAGAGATGTGATATGGAGGCACATTTAAAGTAAGCCAAGTGGTACATATTCTTTTAACATTAAAACTGATGACTCTTATGGTAAGTGATTGCCCAAGTTATAATGACTACAACAAGCTCATGCTTGTGTGATTTCTAAAGCCAAATTCGAATTTGAATATAGAAAAGGAGCCTTTCTGATAAATCTAATTTGCTGGGTGGACATGATTCAAATGATAACCAATCTTAAACAAGTTTTCAAAGTTTAGAAAAAATAAGCAATTGAAATTCCAGGTAGAAAGGCACAATGCTTTAGCAAAATGTAGTCATAAGTATTCACAGTAATTTTTGGCAAGTGAAAATTTATAGGAAGCCCCAAAAGTCAAAATGGAAGAGAAATAACTACATAGGGGCTTCAGAATGGCACTTTAATCAGAACTAGGTCAACAGTGATAGAACTTTGAGGGTTGTATTACATGTAAGGCTATCTATTCATGAGATGTACCCCGAGTAAATGTTACCTCACTGAAGAACTATCACTTCATTATTTCAGTCCTTTTGATATATTAATTCTCTCTGGAGAATCATCTCCCGGGCCAGATTTAAGCATTGTTGTTCCTGGAATTTGGCAGTCCATTCCAGTTCTTCATAGAAAGTGCTAAATGCCAGAATGACATAAAGGTTATACTATTAAGAATAATGAAATTACAGAACTTGTTAAGAGCATAGCACGTAACAAAAACATAGAATATTGAACATGTTTTTAAACAAATTTAACTATTCTCTACAACCATATTAACAAAATATACTGATTTGCATTAGAACCTGGAGTCTATAATGAAAGGAAAGGAGACTGGTTATAGTATCCAGGGACTTTTTTTTATTATTAGCCAGCTATTCTGTTTCCAAGTTTGCAAATATCTTGGCTGTAAATCCTTTATAGACTACTAGTAAAACTAATATAGTTCTGGTCACAGCAGTATGGAACTTTGCTGAATCGATAGTCTTTTTTGTTGTTTTAAGTACTTTTACATACACAATTATGCCCACAGGTAACAGGAAACCAATGTTTCAAAAGGAAACTTGATCCCATCTCTAGATAACACAGGTATCCTAAACAAGTGCGTGAGCGCCTCGAGGCTTCATGCTGCTGCCAGGAGTACATATTTTTTTGATTGGTAAGAACTGCCAGATGACGCTTCATGAAATATAAATGGAAGAAAGACTCAGAGAGCGCAATAAAAACCCTCCACCCGTCAGTCTAGGAGGACAGAGAAGGAAACTTTAGCAACCGCAGGATATGGCTCTGGGAGTTCCAATATTAGTCTACCTTCTGTTCAAAGGTAGGTAATGTTCTTTCTCTTCTGTTAGCTCTGGATCACTGTTAAGTGTAGAGATTTATTTCTCTGACTTCAAAGTTGGCTTCTAGCAGTTGTTCCTGACAAAGGTCAAAAGAGGGAATGTGTCGATTAATTTGGTTTTTATAGAATATATGTTCCTCTTTTTCTATATTTTAACTTTTTTGAGAATTCTGAAATATTTGCTTTATGTAATTGAAGTGTACTTGATAACAGCTTCTAACTACAGTATAGTTTTAGTGATTGAATTAATATATAAGTATCTGAACTTTCTCTTAAGAATTACTGTTTCAGTGTTCAGTACTTATAATGTAGTCACGGGGTAGCTAAAAAAGTAGTCTAGAAATTGTCCTTGTCAGGTTCTGAATTTCAAATGTAACAAATTAAAACCAGAATGGAATAGGGGAAGCCACAAAATAAGAATCACTTTGGATTATAGTTTTGACGTGAAGGAAGCTCACCTATGAAAGATGCTTTTCCCTAACACAGCAGTGACTGCCGTGCTGACTGAAGACGCAGCAATGACTACGCGGCCTCCAAGCACATCCCAGCAGAGTAACTGGACAGCTAACACTACCGAAGGTATTTCCATTCTGTGTTTCAAGCGACTTCTTTAAAGCCTTTGGCAGAAGCTGCATTGGAGAAATTTTAACCCTACATTTTATTGGATTAATCAGCTGTTAAGCTGAAGGGACAGATAAATGTGTTAGCCAAGGATTGCTTTTTTAAAAGAGGAAGTAAGATGAAAGAGAGAAGAGCTGTCTGTCTTCAGCATGTCCTGAATAAGACATGCCAAACTTTCTGCTTAGATTCTGCTTGGCTCCCATTAACCCATGTGTATCCAGAGTCAATGAGTGAAATTTTGAGGTTGTAATGAGAGACATTGTATGTTGACCTGTGACTATAAGCTTGGCAGCCACAGAAGTTCTCACTACAAGATGAAGCACTTTTTCACATTTGTGGAGAGGTCTGTTTTCATATTTGTTATTTTTAGCACCCTCTGCATCCACCCATTTTTTGTTGCTGGTGGTGATTATATATTTTCTTTCAATCTTGCTGTGTTTATTACAGTGGCTGCTGTTGAGCATCGGCATTGTTTTTAAATCTGTTTGAACTAGAGGTGAACTTGGAATGCTCCTTGCCTGTCAAGACCTGCGTGTGAATGACTATGACTCTCACGCAGATCTGATAATGCCCCCTGATGTGAAGGCTAGGGATGTGAGCCAGGACACAGGAACCCCAAAAGGTCCCTCTCAGGGTCAGGCCAATAGGAGAAGTTGAAGTCAAATAATTTACTCTTAAATATGAAATATGGTAATGTCTACTTGTTCTTCATTTCACCAATAATCTTCACATATAACAAAATGTTTTATCCATTTTTTAAATATCAATTTGTAAAACAGAATATGTAAAAAACTTAAAGACATGGTTTCATCTCAGGGACTGGTATCATAGCCATATTCCAGACATCACCCTTTTTCTTCCATAATGCTGAAACACAAATAAAATTATCTAACTTAGGTGATGGAATGGGGAAAGAAAAGAGCAGATAAGCCATATCTTTTTTACTTTGTTCATGGGAAATGTTCGCATTTTTCCCGTTTTCTGCAGTGCTGGGACTGCACTCCAGGGCCTTCTGCAGGCTGGGCAAGTACTCTACCACTGTGCTCAGTCCCCTCCTTTCACTTTTTATTTACCTTAAAAAGGTGAATCTCATATCATAGAAATGTTTTAATAAAGTCATTACTAATATTCTTCTTCTTAAGGGAAGAATGAATCTCTGATGTGCCCTTTCTTTGGAAATGGCTTCTTTCAATTCTCATATTTTCTGTAAAATCCTCTCTTTCAGATTTGGTTGAGTGAACTCGGTTAGTCTTGAATTAAGAAGAATTTAGCACAACTTACCATGGGAAATTCTCACTGCTTCAGAATTCATTGCTAAAGCAATAAATGTTTAAGATACCACATTCAACAAATAGAATGTGCATTTTAAGGGATGATATGTATTATCAAAGCAAAATGATATAGTATTTTGTTGGTACCTGATTAATTTAGGAGTTCGTTTTTCAGCACAAAAAGGAATGCTTTTTAGGTCTGATTTTCCCTAAATGCACTTAGTAAAATTCCCTTAATCTCCTTAGGAATGCAAATATGGTGTCGCATGGTAGATAACTAGGAATTAGGTGTGTTTGTTCATGGCAATACAGTATAATCTGCCACTAATTTTGCTTAAGTTTAAAAATGGTAAGAATGCAAGGCTGGAGAAAGGGCTCAGTAGTTAAGAGCACTGACAGCTCCTGCAGAGGACCCGGGTTCAATTCCCAGCACCCACATGGCAGCTAACAACTGTCTGTAACTCCAGATCCAGGGGATCCAATGATTCTGACCTCTGCAGGCACTGCACAACACAGGTGCACTTGCAGACAATACACTCATACACATAAAATGAACATAATAAATAAACCATTAAAAAATGGTAAGGATTCATTTCTGAAGTTATACCCAAGGGTTTTTCCCACTGCATAAACACCAAGGACTCTACAGGTAAACATTATCTCTGGCATGTCAGAGCATAACAAAAAGCATCCTGAGACAGAGCTGTTTTTTTTTTCCAGAACATCCTATGTTGAAGAGAATGCCCCATAAGGAGGTTTATGAACACTTGACATCATTGGTGGTCACTTTCACAATGTCGGCATTAGAAAGAAAACTCCATGTTTCTAATTCCACCTCTTTGGCCTTTACCACTACTTACAATGCCTCCTAACTGACTGGAACTTTCAGTTACTATGTGGAAGTATTGCACCTGAGCGCTATGCTGGTTTTGGATTCCTGGATCAGTCACAGTAGCACCTCTTCTGAAGTCAGTCGGTGAAGAGGTTCCCTTTCTAATGAGCACCTCCTGGTAGTTCACAGAAGAGTAAGGAGGGATTCTCATCCTTTCTTCTGGGAAGGGAATAAAAGTCCAGTTTTTTATAGTGCAAGATTATATCCAAATCTTCCTAAGTGTGGCTTTCTCAGTGTAAAGGAGAAAATGCACATGGTCTGTGCTAATTGGCACTAAGCTACGTGTCTGAGAATCACTGTTCAAAATAACCCACTAAACTAGAACCAATGCTGCCACCTTTTGACCAACTTGTCTCTGTACCTGATTAGGTAGAAAGACTGGGACAATCATCAAAGCACCCCACCCTATAATTAATTAATGGTGTGTATAGATGACACAAGCCCAACCCTTATGAATATAACTAACACACCAAAGGAATCAATATTTCAAAGGACAAAGCTCCCTAAAATATTCTTAAAATAAAAGGTCTTTTTCCATATACTGAGCATGTATCATAAAAGTAGGATACAATTAACTATTGATGTTGTATCTCCTTGACCTAGCTGACTACATTGAAGGACCTATAGCCCTGAAGTTCTCCCACCCTTGTCTGGAAGACCATAATAGTTACTGCATTAACGGTGTGTGTGCATTCCACCATGAGCTGAGGAAAGCCATCTGCAGGTAACTGCAAAGAAATTTGCAAGTCTAGAGAAAGAACAAGTGGTGGACGTACATAGCTAAACATTACTGCGTCTTGTCCAGTAAGAATACTGCTAGATCTGAACATGGCTGGCCAATCTTCTTCATAGTTGAATATTTAAGGAGTCTCTTTTTCTAAGCTACTTAATCCTCATTACTCAAATACATGGTTCCCAGACTGTAGCATGTATGGAACCTGGAGCTTATTAGAAATGCAGAATATTGTGTCCTACTCACAACTATGGAAGCTGTATCTGCATTTTAAAAGCATGCAAGGTGGGTTCTGAAACAGAATTTTACACAGACTGCTTCTTACCTTTAACGGGACTGACTTCCATTTGCCTCCGCAGAGTCCTTTCTGTTTTCATTCTTTGAAATGGGCCGCTTTTTGTACTTCTATTACCATAGGCTTTACAGTCATATATTCTTTTTTTTTCTCTTTAAAGATGCTTTACTGGTTATACTGGAGAAAGGTGTGAGCACTTGACCTTGACTTCTTATGCTGTGGATTCTTATGAAAAGTACATTGCAATTGGGATTGGCGTTGGATTGCTAATAAGCGCTTTTCTTGCTATCTTTTACTGCTATGTAAGAAAGAGGTATGAAAAAGAAAAAAGGTTAAATCCATCTGAATGTGTTGACTTAACAAATACTTATTGATTACACATCGATATACATCAATGTGCATATCTGAGAAAATCCTGTGTACTGTTTTGGATGCCTTTTTTCATAAACCCAGATAAATGGTAAAACTTGCTTCAGATGCAGTAGGATAGTACAAATTTACACTTTCTTCTGTGTTTGCCTACCTCAAAATTATGAATGAGGAGGACAGCAAACCCCAAGAGGTAGAGATTAAGTATGTCTTATTGATTATTATACATGTAGTGTCTAATGCCATGCTTGGCACACAATAGACACTACATAAATATTTGATGAGTAAAAAGAAAATAAGAAAGGAACATTAAATGAATAAAATAGGTAGCAAACATTGGTCATTATCTCCATAGATGTCAAGGGGAGTCATCTTCAGTGATACTTTGCATTGCTAAAAGTCCAATGTGATGAACTTGTTTTACAAATAAGTTTAAATTAGATAATTGTTCATTTCTATTTCTAGTTTCTTCACACTAGTGATTGTTCTTTAACTCCATGTAATTAGGAAAAAGTCAAGAGTTAACATGAGACAAATTAAGTACAAGTACATTTCCCTTATGGTACTTTTACTAATTTTTAGTGACTAAAACTACATGACCAAAATTAGAGTTTATTTTGCTTACCAAATGCTTATTAGAGAGAATCAAATCTTTATTATATTTGTTTCACATTTGTCTAAGAGGTCAAGAATGAGGAGGAGAAAGAGGTGGATGTGGTGGAAGAAAGACCTATTGATATTCATCAACTAGCTGTGGGAAGAGAGGTTTTCTAGAAGCAGAGCCAGAGGTGGAGATGGTGGAGCATGTGATGGAGAGGGTACATCTAAGATGAAACCTGTAATGAACTAATGGCAGCAGGCAAAGCAGCAGAAGCTGCTATGCAAAGATGCAGCTTGAGCTCCCGTGCAGCCTCAGCCTGATTCCACAGGGAGATAGAGAATGGGAATGCATCCTAGACCCATCCCAGAGATGCCTGGCTCCATATCAGCCAATCATGGGTCACAATGCTCACAGAAGTATAGGGAGTAGGAGCTTATAGTCCCCTAGAACCTCTTGGCAAGGCACTATGGGCCATGGGTGACCCTCTGGAGAAGGATGCTGCTGTGCAGGGTTACTACCCAGCACTGAGTGATCCCCCAGTGGGCAAATGGAATCTGATAGGTACTAAGTGCAACTGCTGCACCAGCACACTTGTGTAATCCATAAGGATCAACACACACAGCACTTTTATTGAAACCAATACTCTGTTTCAGGTGTCTAAATCTGAAATCACCTTACAACATCTGCTCTGGAGGGAGACCACTGTGAGACCTTGTAAGGCACATTCATCAAGTCACATGCCAAAAGCAGTGGGCACTCAAATTGAGATCTTCAGGTGAAACAAAAAGTGACAAGCTGACTAGACTTGAAAATAATGGATATTAAGATCCCGGTGAAAGAAGAGGAGGATAAAATTCAACGTCACTCTTTATATTTGGCTGTTTCGAGTGCCAGGGAAGCTGCGTGGATGAGCTACAATAGCAGAAGTCGAGGTCATCATCTTAACTTGGGGTTTGTTGTTGAGTGGTTATTGTGGTCATTGAAGAAAGACTTTTTTCATGCTCCTGACCATCTCAGAAGTAAGTTGTCACTTCAGTCATCTACCTTGCAGCAAGCCAAACCAATGGCAAGTTTGGGTTCTTCATGTGCTCAACATTTTGGGCCACTTGTCTACTCACTCAGTAGACCTGATCCCAAACATTCTCTTGTTTTATCTAAGGGAGCCTTTAGGCAAAACCAGTGCATATCACCTTAAGGAACCAAACACGCCTCAAGCCTAAACTACTGAAAGAACATGGAATGTTCAAGGCAAACACAAATTATACTCAGCTTGTGACAACACTGTGCAGACTTGATCTGTGGCATTTGGAATAGGCAAACGACTTCTTGAGGACTGAATGCCATCTGAGTATCAAGTCCTGTGTAGGCAAAATATCTCTGTGTCCGTGTGGATTTATCAAACCTTGTGTTGGGCTCATCTGTCCCCTGATGCGTTTGCTCAGCATTTCATTCTATCATCAGTGGATTACCTGATGTCCATCCACTTGGACTGAAATCCTGGAATGTGTCTCATGACTAGAAAGTCCCCCAATTTCTTAGGTTTTGGTTGCATTTTCTACAAGGCCCTTGTAGCTCTAAACTGGACTGAAGGAAAAGAAAATATTTCTATATTTGCACTACAAGTAAGATTATCCTTAATACTTCCATCATCAATCCCATCTCTAGCCCTGAAATATACCACTGTATATTTTAATATTCACTTTGTAAAATAATTATTTATTTTTAAAGGAAATACAAACTAGAATTATGCCTTTAATCCCAGTACTCGGGAGGCAGAGGCAGGCAGATCTCTGTGAGTTCAAGGCCAGCCTGGTCTACATAGTGAGTTCCAGGACAGCTGGGGCTACAGGGAGACCCTGTCTCAAAAAAACAAAAAAAAAAAAAAAGCAATAACAGTGACTATTTTTCCTCTCTGAATTCAATCTAAAACTGTGGCTTTTTTCTCTTCTTGTAAGTAAAACAGTTTGATCATACGATTGATTAAAAGAAAGTCAGATGAATATTTTTACAATAGCAGCTGGTCATAATTCTACTCTATAGTATTACAGCTTTTCATTCACGCCTTAGAAACACTACAGTCTGCTTTCCTTTGAGGAGAAGGTATTTCCTTGACTTTGTTTTTCCTTCAGTAGGAATGTATTGCAGATGCCCTGCCTGTCAGCACTTTCTGCCGTCCTCACATTGCGGAGGGTTACATCATGCCACCGGCTGGGGAGTGGTGGTTCCGCCCAGTGACTCCAACAACCCCACCTAGAAAGCTACCTCTTCCTGGGCATTTCAAAAAGATGCAGAAAAGCTGGGGAGAGTCCAGGAAGAAACCATGAATGTTTACCTTCAATTAATTAAGGACTGACTCCTGAGGAAAGAGGAACTAAAGCTACCACTGGGGACTTGATTCCGTAAAAGGTTATAAATGTTGGCTGTCTGTAAGTGCTTATCAATTTCAAATACAGTAACCTGAAGTTAGAACATCAAAGAATTATTATTTATAGATTGCCAAACTAAAATGTTAACCAAAACAAATACGAATACACATTCAATCGTCTTCACCTACAGCACGGTATTTATTACACTATAAAAAGCACCCAGTGAAACTACACAGAAACTTAGAATTCAGTTTGTGGAACCCATTTGTTTATGATCTTGTACAAAATAATCTTGTGATCCTGTGACTCCTGGAGTTAATTTTGCAAGAAGGAATCCCTGCCATTCATATGGAACCAGAGGTACATGTGTCAACATTTGTGTACACCAGCAGGACTAAAATGGGGAAACATATTAATACAAGATGACCTGTAAATTGTTTCATCTTCTGTATGTTATATGCAATAAGTTCCTGAAAAGAGCATACCAGTAAAGTCCTTGTATCAGAACTACACATTCAACTCTCAATCATGGGTCCTTATTTTGGCCAATCACTGTCAGCCATACCTGAACTAGTAAATTTACCAAAAAAAGGAGTGACAGTAGTTTGTCATTTCCCCAAATTATCTTTTTATATAATCATGTTGTCATAAAGTTTAAGGAGCATGGAATTATAAAATAATTGATCTTTTTAGGGTTTCCTGGCACAATGCAGATTTAGTCCTTTAATTTTGACATGTCCATTTTGGTGACGTCAATAAGATTTTCCTTCATTATATCTAATTGAAAAAATGTCTTAAGAAAATAACAAGACAAACATCAGCAAATTATGCTTTTGATGTTGAGCATAAGGGTAGTTCATAGATGCAGAACACTATGAGTAAGACAAGTAACTTCTCTGCATTACAAAATGTTACATGCTTTCTGTGTGTGATATAAATATTGATAGCTTGCAACCCACACTCATGGGAAGGGTTACCAGAATCTCTGTTGCAAAATACCACTCTTTCTGGCTTACATCATGGCTGCATGACATCAGATAGGAGCATCTGCCAAGAGGAACTGGAAGTGTTGAAATTAAATTTGTCAGAGTCTGGCACTGCTAATCTGGGTGAGTCCACATTTCTGTCCAAACCTTTGGCACAGATCTATTCTGTAGCACATCTAAGAGCATACCTTTCTTCTTCTGAATGAGATTTCTGTTGATTATTCAGGTCAGTCGATGGTAGTCCAGCATAGGAGAGCCTGAGCATATAAGAATTCCAAGCTTAGGCCTTGAGAATATGCATTTTTTTTAGACTGCGTCCTGTCATTTTATGTCATTTCTGCACCTAAACTGGACATGAATGTGGGCAACACCTGCAGCTCCCAAAGAGACAGCTCATAAAGCACAGGAATGCAATTACATGATAAGGAGGAGGCTCCACTCTTCAGCCAAGTCTTATCAAACGCCTCTTGGCCTTTGTCATTTTTATGTTCCAGATACTGGAGCTTAAGTAACCAGATTGAAATGCACTTAAGAACAAAGCTGAGAAGCTATAGAACTGCCAATGCATCTGATCTTTAAGAGGATGTTAATTAAAAACCTGGCCTGGTGCTACAAATCTGTTATCCCAGCCCTTGGAAGGTAGAGGGAGGATCTCAAGTTCAAGACCAACCTGGGCTGCAAATCCGGACTGCCTGAACAGACAAAAAAGAAAAAAAATTAATTGGGCCTCACATCTTTCTGGAAAGAATGACATCTCTAGATCTTTAAATTGCACAGAAGTATTGATTCACTATTAAGCTCTTTAACAAATCAACTGATACAGTAGCATAATAGAGCTTCCATTTATGTGCATTTACAGTGTTTGAAAGCATTATTTGCGTTATTCTAATAAACCCATACCTGTGTGTAATTAGTGACTTTAAAAGGGCAATTCATAGGGCTGGAGAGATGGCTCAGTGGTTAAGAGCTCTGGCTGTCCTTGCAGAGGACCTGGGTTTGATTCCCAACACCCACACAGCAGCTAGCAACCGTCTGTAACTCCAATTCCATGGGAATCCAACACCCTCTTCTGACCTCTATGGGCAGTCCATGACACAGGTGTACTTACATACATGCAGGCAAAAAGCTCATGCACATAAAATAATAAAACCCATATTTTTTAAAAAAGAAAAGGCAATTCACTGTTCAAGGACCCATAGTTGTCAGGTGTTAAAGGTAGAACCAGAACCAGTTCCTTCATCTATGTTGTAGTCTAGATGACAATGTGTTCTAATAATGTATAGTAAATATTCATGTTGGAGGATAATTTCTTGGTGAGCAAGTGTTTTGCATACAAATGGAAAAAAGTTCTTTTCTTTATAATATATATAATAGCCTTTGTCATGGATCAACCACAGAAATTCCCTGCTATCATCTTCAGATTAAGATATGCATACCATCCTCTGGGTAGGGCCAGAAAAATGTCAAGGCCTGCTGACAGGTGATTCCACAGACTGTGGAGACTGGAGACTGTACACTGCAAATCAACCCTGGTCCATTCTCAGGACTCAAGGGATAAAGAAGTCACTTGAAAATATTCTGTATAATGTGTGGATAAGTGTTGTCTGACACTGTTCCCTTCACTGGAATACACCTGACCGAGGTTGGTAATAGGGGACAAGCGAGGCATCCACATTGTCTTTCCATCTGCAGTAGAACATAGTAGAAACCCTTTGACCCTTGCATGACCTTCAATCCTACCTCTACTCCCACTTGCATCTTGGAGAACAACAATAAATGTTGGTGGCTCAGCCTAGGGCAAACATTGAAAACCTGAAAATTATCTGTGTAATGGTTGTCACTCCAATTGCCTAGGTTCTAATGCAGCTGTGTGCCTGTTTAACTTTGTGGGGCCCTTTGGATATGATGCTATTGTCTGTTAAATGGAGAAATTAAGGCTGTAAAGATGACTTCCAGGTTTCACTCCTGGTTGGAAGATGTATGATGAAAACGTGAGGCCTGTCAGGCAGATCCCACCCACAGACATTATTTCCTTTGGCCTGCGTACGTGTGTGTGTGTGTGTGTGTGTGTGTGTGTGTGTGTTTAAATCAGACCCACATTTAGAAGCTAAGGTATTTTATTATAAAACTTTAACTTGCTTTGAAAGGAGACAATATAAAGCCCGGCTATGTCGTCTTGCATAGCTGTGGTTAGGAGTGTGGCCTTAACATCAGTCAGCATCTGGTATTCAGGCTGTCAGTGCAAGGTTCTTAGGAGGCTTTAAGCTTGCTGACTTGGTGGCATGGATTAATTTGAAGGTCTTTCTCATCTAAATTCCTGTTGAGTCTAATTACCAAAATGCCTGTAGGGGGCCCT